CTGTCACACACACACACACACACACACACATGCACGCACCCCGTTCTGACAGGACAGCAGAACCAGAGCCAGGAATGGGAGCCAGGTGTCCTGAGCCCCGGCACATTGCTCTGACCACTAGGCAACACCGACTTGCTCGTTTTATTACCCTGTTTTCCAGATGGGGAAACTGAGGCACAGAGCGACTCAGGGACGTGCCCAAGGTTACACGGGGAGTCAGTGGTGGAGCTGCAAATTGACCCCAGCTCCCCCAAGTCCCAGCCCAGCACCCTGACCACAAGGCCAAATGGTCCCCCCCTTGGGCTGCAGAGAGTTTTGACAAGTGTCGCTATTTATGCTGTAAATACTTGTTCATCCCTTGAGCAACCCCTAAAGCACAAGGATGAAAGGAGACGCCGCAGAGCGCCGCGGACACGACTCTCACCGCGCGCTCACCCCGGGGATGCAGCAGCCGTGGGAATGCAAACAGGAGGCTGGGTTAAAGGTGACCCATGGGGGAGGGAAGGGGGTAGTTAGATGCGTGTCTGGTGTGATACACCTGCATGCGCGGCAGGATTTATTTTATTTTTGTTCATGCAGCATCCGGACTGGGCCCTAGTCCTGACCGGGCCTCTGGCTGCCGTTCTAAGAAATAAACAACAGCAACCACAACGTCTTGCCCTCCGTAGCGTCTGTCCGCCCGTCTGTCTGTCTGTCCTTCTCTCTGTCTATATTATTCTAATAATTAGTAGTTATTTGTGTATTTGTAGCTAATTTATTTATTTGTATTACTATCGCTCCATCCCCACACATATCTATCTATCCCATACACCCCCTCTATCTGTCTATCCCATACACCCCCTCTATCTGTCTATCCCCATACACCCCCTATCTATCTATCTATCTATCTATCTATCTATCTATCTATCTATCTATCTATCCCCATACACCCCTATCTATCTATCTATCTATCTATCTATCTATCTATCTATCTATCTATCTATCTATCTATCTATCCTATCCCCACTACACCCCTATCTATCTATCTATCTATCTATCTATCTATCTAT